CTACACCAGTGTGATAGAACATCTCATCATAGCCAGGCATCCCACCATAGCTGAGCATCCCAGTGTGGTAGAACATCCCACCATTGCCAGACATCCCACCATAGCCAGACATCCCACCATAGCTGAGCATCCCAGTGTGGTAGGACGTCCCACTCTGGTAGAACATCCCACCACTGCCAGGCATCCCACTTCAGGAGATCACCCCAGTGTGGTAGGTCATCCCACCATTGTCAAGCATCCCAATGTGGTAGAATATCCCACCATAGCCAGGAATCTCACTGCACGAGATCACCCCAATGTGGTAGGACATCCCACCATAGTAGAACAGCCCACAGTTGCCAGAAACCCACCAACGTGGCCCCAGCCCCTGTTTCCAGTACTCACTGTCTCCCTCCACCTTCTCGGGTGTCCGACTCCAGATAATCTGTCGGGTCTCCAGCTTCACCTGGAATGTCCTTCGCTCTGGCCTCTGTGACTTCTTCTGGTAGAACAAAGTGAGGACGGTGCCCATCTCCAGGCAGCGGAGGATCCTTCCAATGTCCCCTGCCTCCATCCTGCCGTCCTCCAAAAAGCCATTGACGCTGTTGAGCCTGGACATGGACATCTTCACTGCGTGGCCATCGCCAGCCGGAGCTGCAGAGCCGGGGTTGTCTCATGCATGAAGGGACGAACCCAAGGGGGAGCAAAAAACCCAAATCCTCTGCGGGGATTTTCTCTGAGCAATGGGAGAATCCGACTCCAGGGTTCGCATCCAGGGGTGTCGGGGGGAGATGGGTGATGGCTTCAGAGCTGGAGGGATAAAAACCATCCGGTCACCATGAGCCCTTAAGGTTTGGGGATACCTTGGGTGAAAAAAAAAAACCAAAAACAAACAAACAAACAAACAAAAAACACCAAAAAAAGCAAAGTCACCTCCCCCCAAAAAGCAAAGTCACCCCAAAAGCAGCCAAGCGGAGCAAATCAATCCCCGGCCTCCGTGAAAAACCGAATGGGGCTGCGGGGTGCGGGGTGCCCAACCTGGGGTGTGGGGCTGGTGCTGTGGGATGAGGGTGATGGGGGGTTTGGGGTTTTTAAGGAGGCGGCCGCCTGCTGCCCCCTCTCTCCGCTCCTTAATTTCGGGCTGATGAAATGGACGCCCAGAGGAAACTGCAATCACACATGGCCGGAAAGAGATCAGAAAGGAATTTAAAAAAAAAAAAAAAAAAAAAAAAAAAAGCTGGATCTTGGAGAAAGGAAAATCGCAGCGACGGAAGAGGCGGCGGAGGGTGACATCTAGAGGAAGCCAAAAGATGGATGGGCTCTGGGGATATCTCCAGTCCCTACCAATGGATGGAGGGGGGGGATTCCAGGGATGGGGCAGCAGAAGATTGTGTGGAAAAGTGGTGGAAAAAAAAAAAATAATAAAGAAAGAAATAGAAAATGGCTGTTTTGTGTTTAGCTTCTGGCTCTCTGCGCTGCTGTGCCTGGACAGAACCCAGCTGACAGCAGGGTAAGTGTGGGGCTAAGGAGTTATGGGGCTGACTGCAGGGATTTGGGGATGCAGGGGTTTGGGGTGAGTTTTTTCCCATCCCCATGCTTTGGATCTGTGGGGCTGCCATGGGATTTGCACCAGAATGGGACAGTGCAGCACTGGGGCTCTATGCTGGAGCACCCAGAGGGGCTGGTGTTGGGCTCAGGCATCTCAGGGTCCTGGTGATTGGTGCTCAGGCTCCAGAAAGTCGCAGTGATGGAGGCTCTAGGCATTTCAGGATCATAGTGATGGATGCTCAGGTACCCAAGGGTCCCATTAATAGAGACTTGTGCATCTCAAGGTCCTGGTAATTGAGGTTTAGGAACCTCAGCATCCTGGTGATAGAGGCTCAGACACCTCAAGGCCATGGTGATGGAGGTTCAGGCACCAGGAAGTCCCAGTGATGGAGGTTCAGAAACTTCAGGGTCACAGGGACCAAGGCACAGGCACCCAGGGATCCTGTGTTTGAGGTTCAAGAACCTCAAGGATCTGCTGATGGAAGCTCAGATATCTCTGTATCCTGGTGATAGAGACTTGGGAACCTCAGGGCCATGGTTGTGGAGGCTCAGGCTCTGAAAGATCCCAGTGATGAAGGCTTGGGCTTTTCAGGTTCATGGTGATGGATGCTCAAGTACTCAAGGGTCCCTGTGATGAGGACTCAGGAACCCAGGGATCCTGTGGTTGAGGCTCAGGAGTCTCAAAGTCCCAGTGATGGAGGCTCAGGTAACCAAGGGTGCCAAAGGTGGAGGCTCAGGAACCTCAGGGTCCTGGTGATAGAGGCTCAGCACAGTATGATCAACCACCAGCCCTGGTGGGAGATGAGACACATGAGCTGCTGTGAACATGGATCCTGTGGAAGCTATTTCAGTCCTCATTAAAGCCATTAAACACAGAACCCACTTGGAGCAATTCGTGCATCTGTCTGAATACCATGAAATCCTCATTCTTATCCCAGTAGTTGCCAGCATCTTCATGGTTTGCAGCTCTACTCACAGTTTATGGGAGCCATTAATATCTTCTCAGCTTTTAAGGATACAGGTAGAGATCTCTACTTTTGTGCTTGGCAGTCTACACTCTTCCTGGAAGAATTAGGGAATTAGGGTAAATATGAGATCCTGATGTTGTTGTGGGTTTTTGTTTTTGTTTTTTTTAAAATTTATTTTTTTCTTTCTTTATCCATGAATCAACTTCTGTTTTCAGCCCTTCTCTGGAGGAGAATGAGCTTTTGTTTAAAGCAATGAGGTTCAGAGATGTTGGCTTCTTGTGTTTATGTTTTCCATTTCCAGGCAAATCCCATCTCAGAGCCCCTTGAGCGCAGGTCTGGGAACTGAACATCCCAACCACAGTGAACAGAGGATCAGAATAGAAGATTGCTTTTACACAGGGGATTTTGCAGCATGAGTTTGGCTTCTGATGTCCATCCAAAGCACGCAGGCAGAGAAGGAATGCTCTGTTTTCAGTCTGCAATGGAGTCACTGTTTTAATTTTAGCTCCTCCAGAGCAAAGATGTAACCAAGCTGTTACCAAAGCAAAGCACCTTATGGGGGCTGGAAGAGGCAAAAGGACTGAACCTCCCCATCCAGCAGTGTGTGGGTAGCAGGGCTCAGGGGCACCCCAAAAACTGGTGAAGCTGAACACCCCAAATCTGTGCTTCCTTCTTAAAAAAAAAAAGATTCATCCCTGCTCATGGATGTCCTTTCCTGGAGGCAGACCTGCCCACAGAGTTCCCAAGCTCCCAAGTAGGGAGGGCAGCCAGCTCAGAACAAACCCAAAACCATTTAAAAAATGTCACCAAAATCTTTCTGACCATCTCTTCCTCTCTGAGAAAAAAAAAAAAGAAAAAAAAAAAAGAAGAAAAAAAATAGAAGCTGATGCCACTTTCCCTTTGTAGGACTGGCACTGCTCAGTCAATAAGTCACAGATTTCTGTTTATTGGGTGTGGTTTGCTGCTCTTCTCTTTGGCCATATTGTGAAATTCCAGAGCCTCATTGCACTGAAAGGTTTTGCAAATGTTTTTTAGCCATGAGCCTTTGAGCTGCAGGTCGTGCAATGGAAATGTTGCAATTGATCTTTGCAGGTGGTGTTGCAATGGCATCGGCCTGGGACCAAGAAATGTGGAGCAGACAGTAAAAGTGGAATGATCCAAAGTGTCTGCAAAGGGGACGCTGGGGACAAGAGGACATCATATGGCCTTGCATGGCCATAGCCAGAAGATAGAATGGGGCTATTCAGTCCCTGCCCAAGCCATCTCTATTTCAGCAGGTAAAAGTAGAGGACAGAAATAAATCTGTTGGTAAAGAGCTGGGAATGGCAGCACTGATTATTGCTCTCATTTCTCCCCTTCCCCAAATTCATGTATTTAGGTCTGTGTGCATGTGCCAGCAGCGAGACTGCAGGCAAGAAAAAGGGCAGAAAAATAGACATCATAGCAGAAAACTGTTGCCCACTTGATAAATGAAGGTGGCTTTTCCTTTAGGATTGTGCAGCAGTTTCTTTTCCTGTTGCTGATATTTTCCTCTCTGGTTTCCATCTAACCCAGGAGACATCTCCTTCCCCAGAGCTCCTAGTCGTGCTATTATCAGCATAAATAGGATTCGAGAGTTTGCTTGCCCTTGGGAAGGAGATTTCTTTTTTGCAAAAGTTAAAATAGCGAAAACTTTTTTGGAGAAGAAGCAACTTTCTTCAGTGATAAATAGCTGCTGAGCTTCTACAGAGCAGGGCTGGGGGCTGAAGGATACATGATATGACCCTTGGGATCCTGAACTGAGCCCTTGGGGCTTTTAGGAGGATTCACAGTACCTCTTTGGTTTCAAGCTTGGATTTAATAACTTGACACCATCTTGCTTGAATTGCTCTTCCTTTTCCCCCGATGCTTTCCTTCTTCCTCGGACACAAGTTAGTTCTCACTACTGTCTTGTACAATGGTGTTATTGGAATTGTCTCTAGTGAGAACTGTGCTTATTTCTTCTGCTGCTATTTGGCCCATGGCACTCCTCCTCCTGAAGCATTGCATCAGCTCCTGGTCTCCTTTCATTGCAAATTAAGAAAGAGTGGTAAAATGCATTGGAACAGGCTGCCCAGGGAAGAGGTGGAGTCACTGTCCCCAGAAGTGTTCAAGAAACGTGGAGATGTGGCACTGAGGAACACGGTTTAGTGGGCAATATTGGTAGTAGGTGGATGGTTGGACTAGATGATTTCAGAGGTCTTTTCCAACCTTAATGTTTCTATGATGCTATAAGATGCTCCATCTTCCTCTCAAGTACCTGCACATTTCTCACATTTGCCATCCAAGCAATTCATCTTGGAGAAACAGCTCTCTGGGATTAGACTGGAGGCAGAGATTTCTTGGCACCTGGAGTGTGGACAGAAGTCTTCTTTCCAATCCAGAAGTTTGCAGCTTGTGATGGGCCATCTCAAGATGTTCCCAAGGTTTTGTGCTTAGGTCCAAGCAAGACAGGTCCATGCTAGTGCCTCAGAAGAGATCCCCATGCTGTTCTTCTCCCATGCACCTTCAGTCCATTGCTTATAGTTTTGTGGGTATGTGGCAAATCTTATTAGAGGCCAGATCAAACAGAAAACTAAAACAAAATGAAAAAGAGGAGAAGGAGAAAGAAGAAACAGAGATGGAGAAAGAGGAAGAGGAGAATGGAAGAAAGAGGAGGGGAAATAGAATGGAAAAAGGGGAAGAGGAAGGAGAATGGAAGAAAGAAATAGAATGGAGAAAGGGGAAGAGGAAGGAGAAGGTGAAGGGGAAGAGACATCAAGCACATCTGATTAGATATTATTTTTAATATTATTTCTCTTCTCCTTTTTCCATTACCCTTCTCCTTTTCCTCCTCCTACTTCTCATTCACCTTCTCCTTTCTCATTCTTTTTTTCTCCTTCTCCTTTTCCTTCTTCTCTTCCTCCTCCTCCTTCTTCATTGTCTTCCTTTTTAATATTGCCACACATAAATATTTCCATTTTTCAATGGCTCATATTTTCTAAGCCTTTACAATATAGATTTCCCACTTCTTTCTAGATTCCCACATTTTTTAAGTTTTTATTAATGTGTTTCCTTCAAGACTTTTTGCAGTGCTCCATCTGAGACCCACAGGCGCCCCACAGAGAAAAGTTACACCGCTTTCCTATGCAGGATGCTCCTGTTAATGGATTCCAGGCTATGCTGGAGGATCCAGGGTTCCCTGGAGATCCCTGTGCCTTTGGAAATTTGGAGCAGGTGGCAGAAATGCCGATGCCTCCCACTCACCCTTGTCGTCAGGTCCCAGCAATCTGCTGGTGCAGCGCTTAATGAAGTTTCGTATTTTCGCTTGTCTCAGCACGTTTAGCCACTGAGAGACTCCAGACTAAACCACGATGAGACCGTGATTTCAAATGTGTGAGCAGCTTAATTGGGTCCTATTGCACAGTTGTCGCTGGATCCGCAGTTCTAGTGATGTTTAGGGCCATTAGAAGGATTGGCACCATGTTTATTCTGGGTGGAATGAGACAATTTAATTTCTCTTAAGTGTGCCATCCTGCCTGGGGCATTTTCACGCAGACGCCCTGCCAGCCCAGCACCAAAAACCCACACTTGCATTTTACTGCTTTTTTAATTAAATTAGACTTACAAACAAGTGTCATACAAGCGTAGTGTTATGAACAAAGAACA